CGAAAATAACGGCAGCGGGGAAACCCCGCCAGCATATTTTCTCCCCCCCCCCCCAGCGGGTCTCATTCCCATGCATTATGGGGGAACCGAAGCTTGAGGCCATCCGGTCTGTGAATGGCACAGAAAGTGAATGCAACTTCAATGCTCACGCTCCTGAAGAAGCACGCCCGAAAATTCAGAAGTCTGCTGTGTTTTCAGCGCTTGACTGCAAAACTCTGAGCGTGGCATGTGGGTTATGGTGAACTGCACATAACCCGCAGACCAAGGTTAGCACCTTCTGCCTCACAGGAATGCTCTTAGCCTGACACAGCGGTACAGGAAAAACACACATTTAGTAACCGATTCCATCAAGTATTAACTTCTGTTTAAAGAGATCATGCTAACCCCACATGCAACAATATCTTCAACACCATAAAAAAGCTGCAAGGAAACAGCCACTGGCAGCTGGACCCAACGAGATTTTTGTAACAAACTCTCCCAACTTCAGTAGAAAGATATAGGCCAAGTCTCACTCCAAAAGCTAGAAATTAATGCACCTCATACAAATACTACTGCAAAACACACCTAGGAACATAGACCCTCCTGAATCTCACTCCTTTGACTCCAGCCTTCCTGACTGTGCAGCAAAATCAAGAAATATGTTTTGCTGCTAATGTTTGATCAGAAAAATCCAGGCGCTAGTAAGTTAAACCAAGTTCACCCAACACCTGACCCTAGGTACACCCTTTCTTCACACAATAATTTGACAACTACAAATCTGGATATGGAGGATCTATTCTATACAGTGTAGATTTGTTGCACCCGTTGTTTTATGATTGCGTTATCTAAGAAGATAAATCCAATAAATTTTCAGTAGAATACATCCATGAGTTCGATAAGCACTGTCTCAAATCCTAAAATTGAAACCGCAGACTGAAATCATTCCAGGTGGTAGCACATGGAGGGCAAAAATCTTTCACAATGTGCACCTCTTTGCATATATATGTTCTTTCTTCACGCAAAGTACATTGCATATCTATACATTACATACTTCAAAGGTATGTGTAAATGTCTTCTCCTGCAAGTGCACACAACTTTGGTCTAATTTAGCCATTTCCAGAATTATGGACAGTCCTGATGATATTAAATATAAGTAGCCGTAATGCTCTTCTGAATGGGATATTTCAGTCTTTGGCAAGTGGTTACCAGCCCAGCATCATAAAAATGTTCTTGGAGCAGCAGATGGATTTTGGAAAATTTACAAAACATTGACATTACCTCTTTCTTTAAGCGTAAACAATACTTTACAACCACCTATAGCAGCTACTTCAGTCTGAATAGTTGAGAACAATTAATAGCAAAGATCCCATAAAATTTTGGATGAGTGCACTTAAACTGGGTAGAAGCAAGGAGGCTAGAACAGCATGGGAATATATGACTTGTGGTGACAAACCCCAGAGCTGCTGATTTGGGACAATTTACCTTAATTGTGAAGACCCTAACAAATACATCAGTAACCTGCAGGAAGAACTGTACTTCAGTGTAAAATAGCCAAGATCAGGTCAAAATGGTTGCAATCTAAGGTTTTGGTATCCATGCCTGAGGATAACTTAACCTCTTTCACCTTACTCACAGGGCTATGCATACTGTCCTCAAGTTCTGAGCTGAAACCCATGCCCTTTTGGAGTCAGTGAGATGAGCGGGACAAGAGTTTTACTCCTCCATTCCTACTGTGGAAGCCAGGTAGAAATAAGCAAGCTGTGAACTGAAATAGCAGTCATCTGAAAGGATGCTGGTTTCACACTGGTCCTTTCAGAGGTGCATTTTCCACTGCAGGGAAGTAGCGTAATTATTTTTAGCAGATACAATCTTCTGCAGTCAAGCCAACTCAATATACTATAGATTAACCCATTTCTACACCCCTGGCCTTAGAATATGTGCATACATTGGTCATTTCTGGGATTCCACTATAGTATAGAAAGTTGTCTTGACCTTAAATAATTAAGATCTAATGGTTGAGGTTAGACAAGTTGTGAGAATGTAAAGCTTAGTGCCATAAACTGCCTGATACTTACCCAAATTTTTGGGCAGAATCTGCAACCTGCAGCGAGTTTTGTGCTGTGACAACTGGCTATCTAGTCAAGCTATCTAGCTAGGTTTGTCTATATTAGCCAGAGACTGCAGTATAGGTATATCCTGGGATTCTGATCAATTCTCAAACATGCATTTGTTAAGAGAAAAGGTCACCAGCTTAGACAGTGTTATACTATGGGCTTAATTTTTTTCCTCTTTGTCAGTATTTTCACATATCTTAGGACAATACAGAAAGATGTCATAAGCAAAACGAAAAAGGAGATAACACAAGTGTCATAAGATGTTTGGAATACAGATGAAAAATTTTCACCTTCTAAAACACATATGCAGCCCTACAGCAACCATGCTGTGTGGTAACTACAAAATCAGTGTAAGGTTAAAAGTAGGTTTTACATGTTGTGAACCTTTACCTTTAGAAATAAGTAGTTAAACATTTATGGAAAACAAATTTGTGGCATTTGAGAAGAAAGGTCAGTGCTGGTTGATTAAACATTGCTGAAACAGCTCACTTCTATATAGAAGAAAACACAGTCTTGTTTGCGAACAGATGACGTTCAACTAGGCATGGTTCACAGCTGTTTTAGAACTGCAAGCACCCAAAACCATCTAACTTCTTTGGAACAAACTTTCCCCTCAGCGCAGAAAATCCCAAATGTATAATTATTTTGAAAATAAGACACATGCTGGTGAGAAATGCCCAGGTATTTTATTATGAAGGTTGCCTCTCGTAGGTTCAAATGATGGCCAAAAAGACAATGGGAGTGAAACCCCTTCACAAAGGCCTTTTTTTCATGTACTAAGAGTGCCCGTGTGGGAAAGGCAGCCTTAGATGCCAACTTGTGCTGAGAAAAAATTTTCTTTGCTCAAAAGTCTTACAGCTGCAGAAGTTTCGTGCTGCCTGGGTGGACAGAGGGTAAGATCCAGCAAGTCACACTGCAGAGATGACTCGCAAGGCTGTGTCACTCCACCAGTGCAGATGCTCTCTACCTTGCTATGCCATGATGTTTAGGGTTGAAGCAGTGTGAAGGGGGTGACTGAGGCTGGTCCTGGCTGCCGCAGGAGATGGATCAGGAGGAACTGCAGTAACGTGCAGAGCTTCAGGCAGGGAAGGGTACTACATGGGAGATTACCAGGCTGATTTCTAGCTAGACAATCAATCTTTTGTCTTCTTTGCTTCAGAAAGTGCTTCATTTCACCTACACGAATTTCCTATGCTGGGACAGCATCCCAGAATATTTATTTACAACTGTGATAGCAAAGCACCTCACATCTTGGGACACAGGTGAAAGATACCAGAAGGCATAAACTTATGTTTAAACTTATGTAATTATGAGCACAAATTAGCTAAAAAGTAATTTCTCAGTATAGTAGCTGTAAAATGGGATTCATTTCATATTATGCATTAAATTACTCTGACAGGTTGTGCGGATTTCCCTATGATTAATAAGCAGAATGAACTATAAGGTTGATATTAAATAAAATCCAGTGCAAAGGGGTTTTCCTGTACCGTGCTTGCCTACTGCCCTCTTGTGGGAGTATGAACGTTGTCAGCGTTTTAGTGTGAGACTGGCTCTGGTGAGAGTACCTTTGCAGTTTTCTGTAGTGGGACAAGGCACTTAACATGCAGACTGTAGATCCTGGAAGGGAAGTTTACATGCCTCTGAAATAGAAATATCGAACTGTAATTTTTAAATCTCCGTATTTGTTGCTTATCCGCAAGATTCCACCAATCAAATAGAGCAAAGTATATGCCACCTGAATATTACATTTGCTATCACTTCTCATCTTGTAAAATGTATGAACTAGAAGTCTTTTAAGTAATCATTCCAAATCTACATTAACAAAATAAAAAAAAAAAAAAACTGCTAAAAACATGTAGACATTTCACTGCACCCAAAACTAAGCTAAGAAGGTAATTAAAGTGTAGTTATAATTTTTAACAGTTCACTTTGTAGAAATAAATAATTTTTGTCATCACTGAGTGACATATGTCATGATTATATGATACAATTTGTCACTGTAACAACCAAATGGTAAAAAGATTTAAACCAGGAGCCTGCAAAATTCAAGATTGCTGGAGGAAGAACACTTGGTATAAAAGGCCAAACTCTGTTCTCAGACCCCGCTCCTAGATAGATTAGATTAGATTAAATTAGATTAGATTAGATTAGACAGATGTCCCATTAACATCCTTGCAGATTTCGTTGCTGGCTCAAATACATAGTTATATTGCTGTATTTCAAAGTACAGTCTGCTCAGGTTTTTCAGATCCTGTTGTTTGGGATGAGTTACATGGACAATGTCACAGAAGTTCAGCTGTGAAGGTCTAACAGGCATTTTTTCAGCTTTGGTAATTTGAACTTTACATGATTCAATTCAGAATTTCTAGATAATCTCAAATGTTTATAATCACAATTAAAAGTATTTTCTTCCATAAAGGTACAGAAGAAGAGTCATTAACTTTTCCAGCTTTATTGGCAGTGTGAGGAAGGTCTGATCAGAAACTCTGCTGTTAGTGAGATACGTACTATAGAGCATGATGCAGAAATGCGGCATATCTACAAAAGACTCCTTTTGTGTAAGCCTCTGAAAAATATGGCCAACAAATGAGTCTGCGTGACTGTTTATACAGTTATTCCCTGTTGTTCTTTACCATATGAATTCTGTTCCATGCCAAAAGTACAGGCAATAAAACAATGTAAAATGACTGATAACTATTACATTTTAAAAATTAATTTTATCCATAGTTTGCATAGTTTGCCACAGTTTCTAAATTCTGAATAAGTATTAGCTAATCAATATAATTGCTTTGTGATGTAAGTAAGC